CATAATCAGTAAGTTATTCTTTAAGTTTAATGATATTTATTATACCATACGCAATTGTGTGATATTTAGAATTAGAACTTTCATCTCGCAAAACGTATTGTATTCAATTGTATCTACATTTTTAAATGGTGCGACGGCATCAGAGACAATCATTTTAATCATTTATTACGTGAGTGACGAAAGCAATTATTATTATTATTATTATTATTATGTATTATTTAAGACTGTATTAAGATGTCATAAAGTAATTTATAATAGAGCCATATTTGAATCTTCAAATGTTATTTGAGATACGTCGTTATGTTTGTCGACCAATTGAAAAATATACGGTTCACTTTTTCGATAATAGAGGGCTTTTGACTTTATGTCATCTATCTATCTATATACGATGGCTGTAACGCACGCACGATTTAAAATAAAATATCGAGATCGTCATTGTAATGTATAATTTAAATAATTAATATTTAATAAATAAATTAACTTAAGCCAAGTTCAAAAAAGGATACTGAAAAATTTAAACCTTTTTATCCAATAATAATATATTACCTAGAAAAGTAACTGACATCAGGAGACGTGGTAGTGCCTCCGGCCATGTTCAAAAACTGAAAGACACTACAAGTCTCTTATCCGAGCCACCAAAATCCATTTTTTGGAGGTGCATAACTACAAAAATATAAAAAATTATAAATATATCCTGAAAGACAGCATCGCCACGAATAATTTGAACCAAAAAAATTTTAAATCGGTCAAGCCGTTCTGGAGATACAAGCGATCGAAAAGTGGTGATTTTAATGAAAAATTAAGAAACGATTCCTTCTTCTCCTTCTTCTTCTTTTTCATCTCTGTCCACATTCAAGGCCATTAAAACTTTTTAATATACTCTCTCACCTTTCATTCGCACCTCCACCATTTTCGGCCCATTGGACCTCCTCCACCCGTCCCTCTCTCTTCCCCGCCACCCGCCCCCACCCCTCCATTTCGACGTATTTTGCTCTCTTTCGTTATTACAACTAATTAACATCCTCTCTCATCTTTCACTCGCACCTTCATCATCTTCGACCCACCGGACCTCCTCCCCCCGCCCTCCTGCCCCATCACCCATTCTACCACACCTCTCTTTCGTTATACAGGGTGTACCGGAAAAAACGTTTATCCTTAAAATGACGTATTCCTGAGGTGATTTTAAGACACTTTTTCCTTTGTCAAAATTTTATCCGAAGCACAGATTTTGAATTATAAGCTAAAATAGTTAGCGAATTACGGGTCGCGTACGGACGGCAGGCAGGGGCGGCGCAACTCGTCGGTCGACGCGGGCGCCGGATTGCGATCAGCTGCTCGCTACGTATAAAACGCGTGTTACGATAATACGCGCGTATCTCCTCCTCCTCTCTCTCTCTCTCTCTCTCTCTCTCTCTCTCTCTCTCTCTCTCTCTCTCTTTTTT